TTTTTTTTTTTTTTTACTTTATAAACAATAATAAGGGTTTAAATAAAAACTTTGCTTTGCATGAAAATAAAAATACAAAAAAATTAATAAAAACATAATTGAAATTAAGAAGAGTATTGAAAATTGAAAATATATAACTAAGAAAAAAAAAAAAAAAAAAAAAAATGAAAAAGTTATGTGTTAAAAGCTAATGTTTCTTATTAATTTTGTAAATCATTGTATATATTATTAAAGGTATAAAAATGAGAATAAATACTTTTTTTTTTTGTTAATTACATGGAAACCAAAAAATGCTAACAAATCTTTTTGTTACTAGAGCAAGAAGTGACCATATAAAAAAAACTAAAAAATAAAAATAAAATAATGAAATATTTTTAATAAAAAATAAATATTTATGTTTGTTTGTTTTTTCGTATTCTATAAATGAAAATTTTTTATCTTTAAATTATTACCAAAAAATGAATATAAACAAAAAATTTTATTCGTAGGAGCAGCATCATATTCAACAAAAGAATCACTACAAAAAAAAAAAAAAAAAATAAAATAATAAATAAATATTTATATTTGTATATATATATATATATATATAAATATTAGGAAAATAAGTTAAATGTTATTATTTTCCTCTATATTTTATATCTGTTTATATATATAACTCTAAAATATAAGTTGAAAAGAATAAATTTAAAGTTCCTATTATTGGGTAGTTAAATCCTAGATCAATTGTATTAATTATAAAATATATAATAGAATATAATATGTTAAAAATTATAAATTTATCCTTCCCATTTAATATCATATATAATAAACACAATAAAAACTGAGGTATATCTTCAAAAACTTTGTTAATTATTACATATGTTTTTTGAATTCTATCATAAAAGTACAAAATGGATAAATTATTTTGATCTATTGACTTAATTTCTTTAAAAACCTTAAATAAAGAAAATAAATTGTGATGTTTTTTTGGGATTATATTTAATATAAAAAATTTACGAAGATAAAAAGTGAAAAAAGATGTTATAAATAAAAATAAAAACCATAAAAATATAAATTTATATATGTTTTGATTTATAGTATTTGGTGATTTAGAAAAGTTAATTTGACAAAAAATTTTTATAAGAAATGCAAAATCATTAAAAAAGTCAACACATCTATTAATACTAAAAAGTGTTAATTTCATTTGTTCTTTTCTCATTTCATTTTTTTTAGTTATCATTTCATATATATAATTAAAAACATCTATGTTAATAACTTTATCTATATTAGATTTTAAAATATTTGTATTTTTTGATACTATAAATTTTCTTTCAGTACTATTACTTTTTTCTAATAAATTTAATAAATCATCACTTAATTCTTCATTAGCAAAAAACGATTCTGTATCTTCTTTTTTCTTTAAAATATAATTCTTTACATTATTCCAGTTTTTTTTTTTTTTTTCTAAATTATCCATTATGATAATTTTATTTTACATTAATTCAAATAAATTTTTGTTTAGTATTATAATTTATAAATACTTCTATCTCTTTATTTTGTTTACTTTTTATTTTTATCTTGTTTCTAGATTTTCATATTTCCTATAAAACTATATCTTTTTCATATAATACTTTTTTTTTAAATATAATTATTTCTAATTTCTTTTTTCTTTATTATTTTTTATATTTATTAATAGTTTTATTTTGTTAAATAATATTTACATTCTCCTACTTTTTTAACTTTTAATATTTATTTAAAAAAAAAATGTATTTTTTTTTATTAATAATACTAAAAAGAAAAAAAAAAAAAATAGTTTTTTAATAATAATTAATAATAAAGAAAAATTAGTATTGAAATATTTTACCTTTGTTTTTTTTTTATTCTCCTTAAATTTATACTTTTCCTTTCTTATATTTATTTTTATTTTAAAGAAATAAAAAAATTAAATATTATTACAAAACGATTACTAATGTTTAAAATCTAGTCATTTCTTAACCTTTTTTACAAAACCTTTTTTTAAAATTTAAAGAAATTCTTTCTTTTATTATCTCAAAAAAAAAAAAAAAAAAAAAAATGTATTCTTTTATATAATTCAATAAACATTAAATTTCTCTAAATACATACAAATTTTAATTTCTTCAATTTTTTTTTTAATATATTTAATGAGTATGCTTTATTTTATTTTTTTTTTTTTTTATATATTTCTAATTTTAATTTCCTAATAAAATTTTCCTAAATAGACTTTGTAATTTTATATGAATATACATATCTTTTTTAAAATTAATAATAATAATATGAAATTCTATATAAATATTTTTTTTTTTTTTTTTTTTTTTTAAAA